CAAAATTATGATTACAGTGTTCGATCATCCTTCTTCTTCTTCTCAGAATATACACGTTCCTGGAATGCGAACATTCGCTTCAATACAATAATCTGTCCATTTTGCAGTGATCTGTCAATTGATGTTGATTCGCATATTCCAGCACGAGTAGGCAAATGAATACTGCTTTGTCCGATCATACATAGACCAACCATTGAGCACACCATCTGGAATTTGGATTGGTTCAAAGTCCTCTCTGGTACTGGTTGGCTAATATTGCAGAAACGGATATTTCCTGGTCGAGCTAAGCATACTCAACCTCCAAAATTATTATCTAGTCCTATCCCTTGCGTTCGCCGTAAAAAAGATTCAAAAGCTTCCTGCTGTCGCACGTGTCAACCGACCTGTTAATTTTGATTTCTAATGCGCTTGAGTTTGGTACGTGTGCAGCAATAATCCATTAACATGTGCGGTCAAACAAGACGAGCCCAGTATGCATCAGTGTGTAGTTTTCGAAAAATTTTGCAGGATTGCTTCGAGATTTATGAAATGCCCAAAGTCGTCGTCATTAAGGCGAGCTCCGTTGGAGTAATCTATCGACTACTGCAGCTGGCAATTTTTGTCTACTTTATTGCTTGGGTGATGTTCCAGGAGAAGGGCTATCAGGCGTTTGAGCGGCCCATCTCAGGCGTTACTGCACGAGTGCATGGCACCGCTTTCAACAATCAGGACCATGAGGGTGGCTATCATGCTGGCGGTCCAATAATATACACGGAAGCTGACCTTGTTGTTCCGCCGATCCAGAATGCAGGATTCTTTCTCATGACTCGAATCTACAGCGCTATAGAGCAAGAACAGGCATTTTGTGCTGAGAGTCCAGAGTTGTTTGACGCCGTCTGTTCTTCTGATGCCGATTGTCCCGCTGGTGAGATTGCAGGCACTAGACTACAATCGACCCTTAAAGACGTGTCTTTCCCGCTGTTTTTCGATATTGACCTTGACGGCCATGGACCATTCACTGGACGTTGCCTGCCCGAGACGTCTACTTGTGAAGTGTATGCCTGGTGCCCGATTTTAGAGAATAGTGAAGTGCGAAGGAGTTCCTGGTCTAAGATAATTGAGGTAACTTCAAAGTCAAATCCGCTACAACGTCCAAACTTTCACCTGTTTACGAACCTGAAGTTTATTGAACAGAGAGGTAGAGCAGTGGAGTTTCCGGTTTACAAAAGGGGTGAAGCCGAACCACTGTATGACATCTTAAACTTCACTGTTTCCATAAAAAACAGTATTGAATTTCCCATTTACAAATTCAAAAAAAGAAACATTTTACCTTGGATGAATGCCTCATATTTGAAGAATTGCATTTATGAGAAAGGACACCCCTTTAATGAATACTGTCCAAACTTCCGCCTTCACAATGTTATTCAGCAGTCCGGCGCAGTGGTTCGGGAAATCCTCAAAGACGGCGGCATTATTGAGATCAGTATTAATTGGGACTGTGATCTTGACTTGCATGCAGATAAATGCTCCCCCAAATATTCTTTTCGGTACCTGGGCTCAATTTCCGAATCGCGCACGAACCATCCATTTACTAGCGGGAAATTCATTCCTTTGGAAGAGAAATTTTACAGGGAGATTGCTACTCACTATGGCTCTACCCACCACAAGAGAATGCTCCTGAAAGTAAACGGAATCCAGTTCATCATTTCCGTCACTGGAAGAGCAGGAAAGTTCAATTTGTTGGAATTCAGTATGAAAGTTGGTTCAAGTATGGCATTCCTCGGTACTGCCACCCTGCTCTGTGATATGATTCTTGTGTACCTGAGCAAAGATCGCTACCGTTACCGTAGTACTATAAGTCACCTAAGTGAACTTACTCGCAGTGCTACTTTCATTGCGCGCTATGGGTCGGGATTAGCATCAGGTCCTAACAAATGTCGGACCTCCGCGGTCGCAGGCCGAAAAGCGAAATCGGGCACTGAAGATGTTTCTGAACCTCCACCAAAACCAAGAATGGAAAATGTTATCGAGTTAAGCCAGCTTTTGCATCTATACACAGTGAAACAGGGCATCTCAACTGTTCTTTCTACTACCGAGCCCGAACCAAGTATGCAGGCGATCAGGAAACAAAATGCCGAGGAAGGGGTAGGCGAGGCACAGCAAAATACAGCAATGATGTTGGACTCCGAAATAGAGCTCTCTTCACCAGGAACAAACTATTATAGTGATCCTCCCTCACTTGGCCAGGACTTGATTCCCTCCTTTTTTGCTCCAGAGAGTCTTTCTGACGCAGTCTTTATGAACTATGGAAAGTGAGACAGTTAATGTATTATATAAGAAATTGCTTTAAAAAGACATTTATGGCTATGATTTTACACTTCATTATCACCCAATGGCTAATTGTCGCGCCTAATATTTCTGTATACATATGAGATTAATGACTGTTAATTTAAGGACGGTGTCATTTGCTGAATTTAGAATAACCCAGGTTAACTGGATGCTGCAATTCGTATAAGAAAGTCTGCTTTGGCCGAAACACCATCATTTAGGTGATGCATCTTTGAATTAAAGTAAACATTAAATGACGTACGGATATCAACTGCATAAACTTACTATCCAACTGTCCTCGATTGAAAGGAGTTTACATATACGACTGAACGCGCTATGGCATGTGATAACAATTGAACTCCCAACACTAATCAACAAATGATTATATAAGACACACGATATAATGCTTGAATGTGTATTAGCAACTGGATTTTCTAAGGTTGATGCGATCCATTTTAAGTTGCCCATAGTAGGCTACAGTCAGCTTGTGCCAACTGGTTATTGTCAAATGATTGACTATTAGGATAAATCCAGGGTCTATAGTAGCATGTGAAAGTGGAGAAAACTGACTACTATAATTTATTAATCCAGAAGCAAACGCATTTAAGTAATATGCTATAACTTCGAAATGGCCGAGAATTCCTCGAAGCCATGCACTCCGACGATTCATGCATTAACCGGCACGTCGAGTTGGATGATAGTTATAAACACATCAAAGAACGATGGAAAAGACAGAGGCCACAAGACAGAGACTAACTGAGACCAAACCTACCAATCACGTCTCACTTTGTATAACTATTAATTCTTTCGACAGTTTTGAAAGTTCACTCGTTCATTGCACTTTTCTTGTTAGTCCGAAGACGAGTTGGAGCGACATCCTCAAAAACTCACTCATTAAAGTTATTTTATCCCAAAGAACATCTTCATATTTAAATTTCTTGGGATGCGCATGTTCCAGTTTATACGATTTAAATTCTTTGTCATATCACATTTTTATCCGGTTAGTCCCCGACGAGTTTAATGCGTGGCACTTTTATGCACATTCTTCTATGCGGTTTAGGGGTCACGTTCGCCTGAAGGTGGCCATTAACTGAAATGCACTCTGTATATATTTCATATATGCGTTTACTCCAGCGGAGTTCCCTGACAAGGCTCAGATCTAAGAAACAATTTTTTCTGACTTGTTTATCCTCATGGGATATCAGCCCTCTAAAAATACAAACAGTGAATACCGGTCCGTCTCCGCATGAAAAACCAGGTTACGGGTTCTTATTTGTTAACTGACTTGACCTGGCTTTTTCCTTTAAAATAGATTCAGACGCCTAGTATGAAATCTATAATGAGGTATATGGCCAAATTTGACCGTTGACTTCACGTTGACCTCATCGTTTTCCATTACTTTCTTTGGAATTGCAGGCCGCCACACATATTCCCTCTTTTTTAATCATTTTTCAAGGTCAAACAATTATCAGTGTTTAATAATGTTGTTGGTTAAAGATAGAAATATTGGAAATTCGTACAGTTATGAAACAGGAGCCCTTACTTGTAAATACAACATACAATACAATGTTAAAAGTGTACTTTGCTCTTTTATTGCTACATAGAAGAAAGTACCAAATTAGTTTACGTAATTTTATTCCAGTATTTCCAGAATGAGCCTAGTGGGCAGGCGGAGTCATGAGTATACATAAACAAACTGAAAATTACCGTTGAGCCAGTTAAATCTCAAAGCGCACATGAATAAGCATTTATGTTTGGTGTTCACGAACAGACATCGTCCATCGCCCACCACACTCACTATAACTTGCCACCACTGATTACTCCTTCCACAGGTTGAAAGACATTTTCTTAGTAAGGCAAATGAATGCCAAAATTCCATAAAATAGGGCTTCCAAGATTACATTGATTCTAAATTGCCAGACTTTCAAACGACGGGAGTGAAAAAGTACCGCTAAAATGGGAAAACTGTACTAACAATAGAATTGCATACTTTGATGAAAAAAGCCACCTCTTGTGTTAAAAACACGATAATAAACCTTGGGACACAAGAGCACGAGTCATTAGGTGAAACTGGCATTCATGATTGCTGAAATGCAATGCCATGTTTGGCTATGAGGACCAAGCCAGTGTCTTTACTAGTCGATAACATCGATAAAGCTAAGGTCGATTCCACTGGCGGATCCTTCGAGGCGGCAATAAATTTTCTCAGGATGACGATGGTGGATTTGCGAAGATTAGTTAGTTAGTTCTGACAGCACCGTTCATTTAAGATTAGATAACATTGCGTATACTCGATTTTTAACAGCTATCAGGTGATTATTTACTGTGCCGCTCGAATTCTACTTTCTTTTAAGGAAAATCTTCTTTTTCAGACAAATGTGTTTGCATACAAACTATTAAAAGTTATTTTTATCAATAGGCAATTAGCGGAGCCATTTTCGATCATATAACTCCCAGTGGTGCAGTGAGTTCGCAAAAATTCCCATTCAAATTTATATCAAGATTTAGTTCTGGAGTTTTGATAGCTTCATAAGAATTAAGACTAACGGAATTTAATCTGTGACTTTGACTTCTGGGAGTAGAGGCAGTGAACACGGACCTGGCATTAAAATTCCAAACTTCTTCAAGAAGAAATTTTAACAGCATTCTTCAAGGACCTCGATCCAATCTGCCTAAATAATATTTAGCAAAATGAAAACGAAAAGACACGGCTAATCGAAATGATTTTATTCATTGAGACTTGCTTTTGTCTATTGTTTATTATCATTGTCGATTTCGTTGGTGGATGTGTACTTATTTGTAGGCAGATAGTAGTTGCGGTAAAGACGCTATCTACACTGCCTACACTACCAGCTGCTACGGCTGTCAGGGCCTCTGTCGAGACCCCAAGCAGCGCGGGACAGATGAGTTCCGTCAGCAGTCGGGTAAACGTTCATCAATGAATGTACTAATTTGTTTTCTTGCGCATATTTCAGTACTTGTTTGTGTTGAAGCCCCAGCCTTAAAAGCCCATTACTACCATTCCCTTTTTACACGATAATTGAGTTAGTGGCAGTGAAAGAGGATTATAGAACCGTTGCCTCATCTTCAATAAGAACAGTTACTGCGGAGCGTACATCCAAATGTGTGCATTAGAAATGCCTTGCTGGCTTCACATTTTAAGTTTCTGCCGTTCAGTTTGCCCATAAAAACCCATATGGGAAGCAGTTTGGCGGTCGTTATTCTTTGATCTTCAAATAAATTCTATCATTTTTTTAAAAAAAGTGATTTTACAGACATAGCTGTAGGAAATACCAAACGGAAATTTCCA